TGTATCACGATCATATCCATCAGCCTTCAGGGAGAGGAAACTACCCAGCACCCAATCTGTGCTTTCCAAGCTCTAAGGTCAGCTTTCTAGTAAATAATTATTATCCTGCCTATGTTGTAATTATTTGTTTACATATTTTTTGACATTGAGAGTCTACTTAAAATTGTTAATTATAAAACCTTGAAAAACATCTGGTAGACCGGAAGCTGTTGAGATATATTTGCCGTCTGTTTGGTTACCCAGAGCCTAGGGACCACAAGATTTATTGTAGTGAGGATAATTTTTTAAAATATTTAAAAAAATAAGGTCTGGGAGTGTGGCTTACACGGTGTGAAGCGCCTGCCTAGCAAAGCACGAGCTCTGAAAACCCAGTACCATTAAAATTTTTATTTCGGAATTTTCTGAGTAAGTACTAATTTTCATGATTCAAAGTTCAAAAGGTCTAAACCTACGTACACGTGAAGTGTCCACCCCTCCCGCGGTCTCAACCCACCCAGTTCCTCTTCTTATCAGCAATGTGTTATCATTTCTTTATATTCTCTGGATGAAGTCCACATTCCTGTGCATGGAGTAATTTCTCTCAATTATCTGCTGGGATTGAACCTAGCTCCTCACAGTGCTCTGCCGGTCCTTTCAGAATCACTTGAGGACACCTTTCTCAGCCTGGCCTCAGCTTCTCTGTCCCCGCTTCTAGGGGTCCATCTCTGGCACCTTGCTCTTCTTCTCCAACTCTTCTCCAGTGACCTGATTGCTTGTTAGCTCAGGTGTGGCCTCACAGTCTCCCGGCTCTCTGAGATGGTACACCATTAAAAAACTAAATACAGCATCCAGCGCGCAGCAGGCTTGCATGAAACCCGCTTCCCGGAACGACGCCATACCCAGAACGACCTCAGCCCCTGTGCTGGTTCTTCTGGGCCAGGTCTTGGGGCTCCCTTCCCTGCTGTCCCGGCTGCAGCCGGGAGGGGGCGCCCGACCAACACCCGCCTAAGCCCCTAGAGCGGCTCAGCCTCAAGTTCAAGTCCGCACTGGAAGAGAAAAGCGGCGCAGTACAAGGCGTTTCTCACAGGGAATGGATCCATGGCGCGGGCGTTTTCATCGATCGTCTCTTGAGAGTCTTGTCTGCAAAGGTTAGTGTCCCAGCTGCAGACACTGCAGTTAGACTTTCTACCTCAAAGGCTGAAAGGCGGACTCTGATCCGTGAATTTGCCTTGACAGCCCTCCCAGTGGGGAACTCGAACAGGAACACCCGGCTGCCTGCAGGGACCCTCCTTATCCCCCTTTACTGGCTACTTCCGGCTTACTTTCCAGCTCCAAGCCCGGCCTTACTGAACGACGTTACTTTGTGAACTGTAAAATGCAAGATGTTGTTATCACGATCATAATTATTACATAGCAAAGCTCTGAAGAGACTACTTTAGTTGTTTTTAAATTAGCATTTTATTTACTGAACTTTCTAATTCAAACTATCCTTAAACTTTCGTTTTCCTTTGTGTGTGTGTGTGGGGGGGGGTGTGTGCTTGTGATTGAGCCCAGGTCATGCTAGGCACAAGCTCTAGCTCTACCAAGCCACCAAGCCACACCCTAGTCCCCTCCTTACACCTTTAGCTAGCTTTACGTAGGTTTTTCTTTCTTCCTTCTCTTTCTCTCTTTGTAGAAACACACCCTTGTTTGTTTATGCAATTTATAAACGTGTCTCACTCTGGTTACTTTTTAAAAATTTTAGGCAGAATCTTGTTAGGTTGCTCAGGCTGTCTGTGAACTTGCTATATAGCTCAAGCTGGCTTCCAACACTCAATCCTCCAACCTCTGCCTCCCAAGTGTTGGGATTACAGGTGTGTACCACCATGCTCAACTTGTGATTATGGTTTTTATTTTGTCCTTCTATTACAAACAAGACCCAAACTCAGCACCAGTACAGCTACTCCAAGCTCCAAGAAAAGGAGGTGGACTGGAAGTGTAGCTCCAGTGTAGAGTGCCTGCATTGCAAGCACAAAGCCCTGAGTTCAAACAGCAGTACCACCAAAAGAAAGAAAAGAAAGAAAGTATAGAAACTCAGCTGAGATATGCTTTAGAACAGAGCCATTGGGGAGGAGAGGGTACTCGCCTAGCCAATTATCTAGAGGAAAACGTTTGGGTGCATAATATAAATGAAAAAGTATCAGAATTCAATGAACCAAATTATATTCATATACCTCTGTAGTTGTGTTTGGAGCCACATTAAAAGTTGCAATTCTCTTCTGCAAGGGTGATAATAATGCATTTTAATTAAATTACTTGGTGCCAACTACTTCTTCGTTAAAAACAAAACCTCAGGCAAACTAAGTTTAACAGAGATTATTTGTGCAAAGAATGATTCATGGATCAGGCAATACTCAGAATCATAAGTGACCCAGAGAGCTCAGTTCTGCCACTTGGGCAGGAGTATTTATAGACAGAATAGGAAGTAAAGTACAGAAATAGTTTAATTGGTTTATAGCTAGGTCTTCCATCTTAATTGCCTGTGATTGGCTAAAGCTCAGCAGCTCATGATTGGCTGAGAGTGAGCTATTTGTTAAACTTCTAAGTTAGGTTTGTAGTTTGTTTACATACTTAGTTGGGTTGCAGAGCATTACTTAGGGACTCAAAGTACAGAGGCAGCTTCAAGTCAATTCAATTTGACACACCTCTACTTCAGTTTTTCATCAAGTTTTGGGTGTGAGAAAGTAGTGCTTATGTTTCTGCTCCAAAAACATAGTTAGTGGGCTAACTAGTAAAGATTGACTATTAATGCAGCATGCACTTTTCCAAAGAGCTTCTCCACTCAGCCTGGAAGGATTTATTCTGCAGTCTCAGCTGAGGAAGGGTAAATCTAAAGCCTTTTGTGTTGGGAAAGGTCTCAACCCTTAGAGGAAAAAGCCTTGGATGATGGGGATGGAGGTGTGACAGCATCACAGTGGTGGGGTGTAGGTAACAAGAGGTCAAATTGTAACAACATCAATGTAATATTATGGTTACTAGATTCCTCACTGGGTCTAGGAGCCAGAAAGTTCTTGGTCTCATTAGAGAAAGAATTAAAGTACTGACACAGAAGAGACTTAAGCACGAGCAGGGTTTTTAATGCAAAGCAAAAGCACCCTCTCCAGATGGAGGGTGGGTGGGCTCAAGCAGGAGTGCTACACTGAAGGCTTCAAGACCTCAAACTTTTATTGGGGTTTGTGGACATGGAGGTAGTCAGTCCTGGAGACTAGATTACTGTGTCATTAACTTCCAGAGACTGGGCTGTGCATTATCAACTCCTGCCATATGTTGGGCAGGGGAGTTCTTGCCCTTGGATGGTTATACAGGGGCTGTCATTTTCCAGGCTATAGGGGCTGTGCGTAAACAAGACCCTGCTGTATGTGACAAGTCATTCCATTAGTCAGAGGGCCAGGATGTGATTCCTTATCCACATCCAAACCATAGTTCTCAGTTGTCAGATTTCTTAACTGCCTGCCTAACTCCTATATCATTATCACGTATTATACCTACACACTGGGTGGGGAGTAGATTCCTCATATTCCACCTCCTAGTGGAACTGCCTGGAGAGGTGAAAGTGGGTGTGGATCAGGTATTGGTTCTGAAATAAAACAGTTCCAAATAAAACTGTAGTCCCTACTCTGCCACAGATTTCTCACTAGTAGTTAAGAAGTGGAAAACAAGGCTTATATCTTTACTGCTAATGAAAAAATAAGCAATTAGACTTTCAACAGGGGCATTCACAGAACACCTAACTTCTTGCTCTGAAGGATTAAATGCTCAAAGTGTAGATTTGCTGTGGATTGCATGCTTCGAGGACCTGGAAAATGGTCACCACTGGTACCCAGCTCTACCCAGCTGCAGCACTTGCTGGGACCTTGCCTCCTTCAGGAGACACTCAGGAGCCCAGCACTGTGCAGATCAGATACTCATACTTGTGGGAACACAGGATCCAGAACATACTCCTGATGAATATTTAAGTTCTTCTGATCAGAAAGCCTGCAACAATTTAATTCAGTTAACTGGCACAGATTGTGTCCATTTCCTTCAAGAGGACAATTAGACTCATTCATTTCTGACCTTCAACACTAACTGGCTAGCATGTTTAAAACTATTTGTTTAAAACTGCATAGATAAGCAAGGGGAGGAGGCTGGAGTGATCCATATGACAAGGGTTGAGGTTGTAAGAACATTTTAACCCCCCTGTCTCATAAGATTGGTATATGAGTTGAAAGTTGATTGCCATCACAGCTGGATAATCTGATTCCTTCATCTCCCTAGGAGGATGACTGTTGAATGGGTCTAATGAATACTCCTGATAATGGCCTGGCCGAGGAGGGCAATATTGCTTCTTAAACTCCCCTTTTTCTCTGCTTTCTTGTTTGATATCTTTGGGAAGGTTTTTGTTTTTTTTTTTTGTTTTTTTGGATGGTGCTGGGGTTTGAACTCAGGACCTTGTGCTTGCTAGGCAGGCACTCTACCACTTGAGCCATGCTCCAGCCCCTTGTTTAATATCTTAATTATAGAGTTTTATTTAGCTATATCAGTGATGCTAGGCAAACAATGATGGCTTATTCACTAGATTCTTTTTAAGCAGAGGTTGCAAAACATCAAGGACTCTGAAACACAAACACATACACAGACGAAAAGGGTAATTTTCTTAATTTGCAAAAAGGCTCTTATAAGTCAACAAGAAAGAGACAAGTTAATAATTCCAATTAAAAAGGGAAAAAGAAAGCAAATAGAGGGTTGGTGGAGTGGTTCAAATGGTAGAGTGCCTGCCTAAGCAAGCGTGAGTTCCTGAGTTTAAACCCCAGTCCCGCCAAAAGAAAAAAAAGCAAACAGGCTGTTAGTTAAAGAATCTTCAGCTTCCCATCACCCCTCACAAATTCTACAAATGAAGATGCTAGCACTGCAGATATAAACCTTACTTTGCTTTCCTGAAATTGCTCCAGTCCTAGCACTGGTGAAAGGACGTCACAGGGTAGGCTAGGTGATGGGTAATGGTGGGTTAGGAGTGCAGAGGGCACTCACATGGCAAACTTCCTCACTTGTTTGGTTGCAGAGCCCAATGCCAGCATGGATTTAGGAAATCCAGAATTTAGAGCTAATATCCTAGACTCTATTCTCACCATTTTCCAGACAAGGAGATGGAAGCACAGAAAGTTCAAATTCAAGTTACCTGCCTAGGTAGATATTTCCTGTTGGATGGCTCACAGTACTCACACTTGGCAACAGGGCTCCCTGTTTTTTTTCTCTTGAGTTTTTATTTTGTTTTTTTTTAATCTTGGAGTGTGACACTTCTACCACCACTCCAGACTCCCAGCTGGCTCACCTTGGGTTCCCTCTCTCTCTCAATGTCAGTGCTCCCTAGTCACCACTGACTACCTCTCCTAATCACATGTCCATCTTCATTGTTATTTTCTCCCCATTTTGAACTTATTTCAGCCAGATCTAAATGTGTCTCATCCTTCCCAGAGCAGCCAGTGACCTCTTCAACAGCTGTCTGATCATGCACCCTGCTGTCCAGAATCCCCAGGTGTCTCCACTTTAACTGGAGGCAAGGTCCGTTTTCATCTGGTCCCTGCCTGTCTGTCTGCCTCAGCATCCACTACCTGCTATGCACTGGTACATTCTTGTGACACTGAACTGCCATTCTCCGTCATTCCTTCTTCACACCATCATATGTGCTGCTTCTTTTGTCCAGAATCCCCTCTTTTGCCCACCCTCAGCCTTTCTCATGTTCAAGTCTCAGCTCAAAAGCTCCATCCTCTCAAAACGCTGCTATCTTTCTCCTGCATGGTGCCCATGCTTCCTCTTGGACATTGGGACATTGTCATCTGACTTGCAGATGAGGTGTCAGTCTTCTGGGAGTTTTGTGAACTCATGGACGGAAGGGCAGCTTTACACTTTTCCTCTACATTTTAAGTCCTAGGGCAAAGCTGGTGAATGGTCAACACGTATGTGTTGAAAGGAATGTATGATTTAAAGAGATATTTACCTATGTGGGAGCGCATGCTCAAGGGAAGGCCATCAACTCTGACAGGCGGCTTGTGAGCAGACAGGGCTCTGACCTTCCTCAGGTTTGAAGAAGTGGAGTTGTACATACCCTGCACCTCAGTCAGGACACCATGCTTAAAATAGAAATCCAGAAGTCTTGACAGCTGAGCCTGGTGAGGACAAGTAGGGACTGAAGAGGCTGATTCTGCTGACCTGGGATTTCAAACCTGGTGTTTTTGTAGGGGCAGGGAGGCTCAGGCAGTTTCTTTCACTTTCACAAGAGATAGCACAGCAGCTTCTGTTTCCCCCTCTGTTCCTGGAAAGAAGCCTCTTCTCAAAAGAGTGATCAAGCTGGACTTGGGAGAGAGAGATCTCTGCCCCCACCCCTCCCAGGCTGGTCTCCTTAAGCTGGCCTACAGCTGTGCTGCGATTCATCTTTTGAAAGATAAATAAGTATCTTCAAAGCTCATTTAAGAAAACCCACTGCTAGTCCAGTAGTTTGCTGGGATGAAGCGTTTAAAGAGAAAAAAAGCTGGAACTTATATAAGGCCTGAACAGGAATTTTTCTAAGGAAGGAGAAGGGGGAAGGGGGGGAGCTGAGCTCCACCCAGAGGCCACTGAGCTTTTTAAAGGGAAACGAGGTTAGAGAAGGGGAACAAGTGGGAGCTCAAGCAAAAAATTACAAAGAGGTGGCCAATATAAATCCATGGCCAGCTGCATCTGCTAGCCGGCAGCCAGGGAAGTTGAGATTCTGTCCTTGCTCACAGACTGGGAGACAGAGGCCCTGCTGTCCCTGATGCTTCCATCTTACAGGCTTTTCATCCTCCAGCCTCCTCAGTAGCAGACTCACTACATCTCAAAGCCACAAAGGAAGAATTCAAAATTGCAGTCCTTTTTAGTAAATGCTCTGAGAAAGGGAGGGCAGGCCCCACAGTCGGCAGGACAAACAATGAGCTCTCCCCACAGCCGTGGGCTTTCTCGGGCAGACCTTCTCTTTGCGTGCGCACTTGACCTAGGGTCGGCTTCTGGAAGCCACGTTAACTGCTTGTCTGTACGTGCAGAGATTTAGACGAGCGATAACCTTCTGCAAATCTCACAGCGGCATACCAGAAAAAGTTCCCAAACGTTTTTAAGCCTTCCGTGCGTCAACCCAGCCTCGTGTTTTGCTGTGTCCTCCTGGGGTAATAAAATGTGGCCAGCGGAAGGGTCACGTTGCGTGGGTGACTATCGCGTTGCAGGGGACAAAGAAGGACACGTAAAGTGAAAGCGTTCACCCGCTTAGCCCACGTGCTTTGGACGTATTGCCTTCCGCAGGCGCCCAGGGTGCCCGGCTACCTTCTGCCCCTCCTGCCCCGGCGACAGCGCGGTTTCAGCGCGGGGTCTGGGAACTCCTTCCCTCCCCTGGTAACACGCACTTCTTCTGCAAAACAGATCACCACGTAGGCGGCCAGGCTGAAAGAACCAATGGTGGCGCCAACTTCGGCTCCTCCCACCCACTCGGAGCCTTAAGCCCCTCCTCGCACCCCCTCCCCGCCATCTGCAGTCCCCAAGGCCATCTCTCGCAGTGCTGGGACATGGGCGCCGCCAGCTCGTCGGTGGTGGCCCGCCTCGGCCTCCCCGTGCCGCGGTTCCTCGCGCAGCCCCGGCCCGCGTGGCTCGGGGTCGCTGCGCTGGGCCTGGCCGCGGTGGCTCTGGGGACTGTCGCCTGGCGCCATGCGCGACCCAGGCGGCGTCGGCGGCTGCAGCAGGTGGGCACCGTGGCGCAGCTCTGGATCTACCCGGTCAAGTCCTGCAAGGGGGTGCAGGTGAACGCGGCGGAGTGCACGGCCATGGGGCTGCGCAGCGGCCACCTGCGGGACAGGTACGTCGGCCCCGGCGCTGCGTCCACCAGAGACAGCGAAGCGCGAGAGAGGTGGGGTGTTGACCTGTCGGGGAAGTGTCACCTGCCTCTTGATGAGAGCAAAGCAGATAAGATAAAAGGCAGGAGATGAAAGAACGAAGAAAGCTGTATTGCTTGCAGCAAGTGAGGAGAGCGGGGGTGGGGAGGGGGAGTTCTCTCCCGACGGAGAAAGCGAGGTGCGTTTATTGGGAAACTCACACCTTTGTATAGGAAAGACCCGGAATCACCTGTGGAAGCCAGCTGGCACATTTCTGAGCACGCTCAGATGGAGATCATTCTTTGTTCGAGAATGGCAATGGCAGAGAATTTAGCATTATAATAAACGTGGTTTCTGAAAGGAATGGATCAGAGTGACCCCCACCCCACTGGGCCTGCATCGGCAATTGCTCCAGAAGGTACTTTGCTCTGCTAACCAGGAGGATGGAAGTTTGCCATCCCGCCTGAGTTTCGCGGAGGGGGGTGGGGTTAGACCTTTGATCCTTGGGCTGAAGTCTGACGCAGTTTTGGTAAAGTGGGTAGGAGCAAGCCTCTGTCCCTCTGGATGAGAGGTACCCCCTATCTATAAAGGCTCTGACTTGGTTATCCCCAAGGCTCCAGCTAGCTATAAAGTTTGGGATTCTATCTAGAATATTAGTAGAAAAATAAAATGCCATTGGTACTAGACAGGAGCAATGCAGAACCCAGGGGAGTTCAAACTGGGCTAGGCCTTACTGGGGCTGGTGCCTCGCACTTCTCCAGTTCTAGGGACCATGCTTGACCACTTTAATGAGGAATGAGCAGAGTGGGGTATTTTGCTGAGGAGAGGAGGTAGCATGGGGACTGTGAGTGACAGGTAGTTACCCTCAGCCTGGGGTGTAAATGGGGAAATTATAAATGAGGTCAAAATCAAAGCAAAGATAATTTTTAATTTATTTACTTATTTTTCAGTGCTAGTAGAGATGAGACCCAAGCTTTGTACATGCTAGGCAAGTGCTCTACCACTGAGCTCCAATGCCAGCTCTGCAAAGATAGTTTTATTTAGGTGCAGAAGAGCTTTGCAAATCAGGAAACACAGGCTCAGCAAGACTGGGTCACAGCTCTGCCTAAGGAGAGTGGGCTTGGGCTTTTAGCAAGTCTGGTTGTTGGAAAGGGATGCAAAGAAGGGAGGTCATAAATTTGGTATGTCCATTGGAATGTCCAGGTCAAGAAGCTTCTGTGGATGTCATAAAATAAATAGTGCCATCTCAGATTTCCTTTGGCTTTGAACAATTTCTTGAGATGAGGTGTGGGAGAAGACTAGGGTGGAGTGAAAAGAATGAAATGAACATTTATCCCAGTGCTTAATCTATAACTGACACTGAGCTTAATCCCGTCCCGTGGACTAACTGATTTAAGATTTTAATAATCTTGTGGGTTACGATATTATCTCTGTCCTTCAGATAAGAAAATGGTGTCAGACTGGATGACTATCTCACAGCTGACATCTGAAGGTGAACTCAGATCGGTGTGAGTCCAGCACTCATGCTTCTTCTGTGAAACCAGTGTGCGATGTAGACGTGTAAGAACTGCATGGAAGATCAGAAGACCTTGGGCAAAGTCATTTAACCTCTCTGAGCCTCAGTTTTGTCATTTGCCAAAAAAATAAGTTGAACTTGGTGGGCTCTCAGGCTGGTCTTACCTGGTCTTTATTTAGCACAAGCTTACCAGAAGGAACACAGCTTGATGAGTTTCTGAACCTGAGAGTTTAATCATCCACCTACCAACTACAAATATTCCTGCAATACCCTGAAAGGCCTCTTGTTTAATTCCATTCTGAACTTGTATCTTTGGAACTGTTTGAAGATGCTGTGATTTTCCGTACGTGCTCTGTGTCTTCCATTGCTAGAGGTGTTTTGTTCAAAGCTCAGAGTATTTGTGCCTGAGCTTGGCTGAGCACCCTGAGCTGTGGGGTGTTTTAGGCCCGCCCAGCCGGATGTTGGCATTGGCTGTCTTTGATACAGGGACTGGGCAGGCAAGGTTGCCTTCCCTGACCTTGTAAATCTCCTTAAGCAGTCAAACGTGACTTGATCACATTCTTCACCTTTCTGAAGGTAGCCCTTTATTTCTTTAGCATAGATTACCATCTCTTGGAGAAAGAAGTTCCCTACATTTATTATTGAGGCTCAGAGAGGTTAACTGACTTTGCCCAAGGTCTCCTGATCCTTTGTGCAATTCTTATACTTCTAGATCACACACTGATTTCACAGGAGGAGCATGAGTGCTGGGCTCACACAGATCTGAGTTCAAATTCCTCCAACACATACTGGGTTTGTGGTCCTGGGAGGGAGACCCAGTGTGCCATTCCCTGACTCATTCCTCCTGTCTTTCCTTTCCTACCCTGCCTGGGGGGGGTGTCCCTGCTTTTCTCCACTTTCAATCTCAGTCCCTCCTGTTTCCCAGGCCACTTCCTAACTTGAGCAATGAGATTTTTTTTTTTTTTCAGTTGCCTTGGGCTCCATCTCTTCATTGCTGTTGGTCACTTAGGGCACTGTGTTTTTGAGGAATCTGAGCGCTGCATGGATCCCTCTACCACATAGTTTCACCAGTGAACTCAAGTTGCTGACTTTAGTATTGCAGACTAGGTTGGGATAAATCTACCATACAGATTTTTCCTTTCTTTCAGATCTAACAGAATGGAGCTAACTATTCCTTCACAGAGCATTATTTGTGTGCAGGAGATGAAAAATAGCATTACAGAGGTAATAAGGTGGCCAGGATGTGTTATACATGGCGCCCTTTTACCTCTTACCCTTGTCTTTGTCCTATCCCAAAGTTGAGCTCCCCACAGGTTGCCCTCTGCCTTTTCAATTGCTGTGATAAGCAGAAGCCTCTAGCCACCGATGGCCACTGTTGACCCCAGCAGTTAACTCCTGTTATTCTACAGAGGCTGGAGCTGAGGGCAGAGCTGAGGAAGGGCTAATGTTGGGTGGATGGAAGAGAGTTGAGAAGACTGAGCTTAGGGAGGGACCAACCATCAGAAATAAACATGTAGAGAATGTCAGTCCTGTTTGGACATTTGTTTGGTTGTTTGCAGATCTCAGATGGAGTCTTGTCTGGGGAGGGGGCATTTTGGAAGTTAACCAAAGCAGGCTGTCTCAGTTCATCTTCTTTTGTTATAATAAAATCTCTGGCACTGGGTTATTTATAGGTAATAGAGGTTTATTTAGGTCATGGTTCTAGAGGTTGGGAAGTCCGAGAGTATGGCACTGGCAAGGGCCTCCCACTGCGTCATAACATGGCAGAGGACATCACATGCTTGCTTTTATAACAAAGCCATTGCCTGGACGACCCAGTAATCCACTGATTCATGATTGGATTAATTCATTCATGAGGTCAGAACCCTTATCACTAGTCACTCCTCAAAAGCCCTACCTCCAAATACTGTTAACACATGAATTTGGGGATTAAGTTTCCAATGCATGAAATTTGGGGGAGACATTCAACCATAACACAGGATCATCTAGATCTCTGCACCTAAGGATGAGGCCGGAAGTAGGAAGTGGGGCTCAGCCTGGGGCACAGAGCTATCATGAAATGGGCAGAAATTTCCTGAGTTACCAAACCCACCTCAAGGGTGAATAGATCAGAGAATTCTGGGAACTAAAGACATCTAGAAAGAAAAAGGTACCACCACCCAACATTGTCACATCTTGGGAAGAGGAAAAGTAAAAAATTAAAAAAAAAAAACCAACAAAGTAAAACAAAAGGCCAAAGAAAAAAGAAGGAAGAAAGAAAGGAAGGGAGGGAGGAAGGAAGGAAGGAAGGAAGGAAGGAAGGGGAAGCTCTGGAGAGGAAGGAGGAGGATTTTCTGACTGTGCCTTGCTTTGTTTTTCTACAGGTTTTGGCTGGTGATTAAGGAGGATGGACACATGGTCACTGCTCGGCAGGAGCCTCGTCTGGTGCTGGTCTCCATCACCTATGAGAACGACTGCTTGACCTTTAGTGCTCCGGACGTGGGCCAGCTGATTTTGCCGACCAAGCTGCCTTCCTCAAACAGGCTCCGTGATTGCAGGTGTCTGCCTGGGGACATGGGGGAAACTACAACAGACCTAATTTTCCTTGAGGCTCTTCCCTTCAGGTGCTATAATTTGCACAGCAGATGATGAAATTGGTAAAGAAAATATTTAAGGGGAGCATAGTGTGGCTTGGGATCCGATGGGGCTCTGGTGTGAGTGGGTGTTGCAAAATATTGCTTTAAGGGTACCCAAGACTAGTTTTAATCAGGTATGGTAAGATTGCGCATATGGAAATGACTGTTGTGAAGAAAGAAATCACTCATACGAAAGGACCCCAGGAACAGAAGGCACACAGGGAAGCACCAGGGTTGGTCAGGAGGTGGAGGGAGCAAGGGGAAAAACGTAGTCAAGAGCTTTTGTTGTGATTTCTACAGGAAAGGAAAAAAACAAGGCAGGGTAGGCAGGTTTAGAATTGGCCTTGGGACACAGAGGTTGTCTCCTGTAGTCTTGGTACATGCCCCTGGGGCAATTGAGGCAGGGCAGTAGTGGCCATAGTAGGTGAGGACTCAGTAAAGGAGGTGGTCAGTGGGCTCTGGACGGGTTGGTGTCCATATCAAAGCCTTGCTGGCAGGTGATTAGACTGCTTTCTCCAGGAATTGGCTGCCTGGGGAGGGGTCGTTCCTTCTCCTTGACCCTAAGATTTCAAAGCATCAAAAACAGAGAAAATAAATGGCATGACTGATAGAAGTATAAAGGGATTTCAGGTGCCTTTGTTTAGGGCTTGTCTTGGTTCATTCAAGTTGGAGGGCCCTTTTTATTTATTTGTCAACCTTCCAGCCAGGTGGACAGGGAGCTATGGGGATTTGACCAGCTCATCTCAGGGGTGGATGAGGAGGATGCTGGAGCTCTCCAAGGTGACACAGCCTCTGAGGTGTGGGATTGAGACTAAGCTACTTCAGCAGACAGGAGTCTGGTGGCAGGATTTCTACCTCAGGTCAGAGAGAGGACTTTAGCTTCTGTTCAGACGAGGGGAATTCTGCTGGGCTGCCAATTTCCGTGGCTTGCTGAGGTCTTGTCCTGTTTTTGTTGTTGTTGTTTGTTCGGTTTTTGTGTTTTATTTTTTGTTTATTTTTGTAAAACAAAATAAACATCAGCATGATAGAAGGTCTTGCCCTTTGATGTTAGGGAGTCCTAGAGATGTAGATGTTCGTGGGTTGTTGTAGTTCCCTTGGTCACCATCTGACCTGTTTTTTTATTATTATGTTTTATTATTATTTATTATTATTATTTTTTATTATTATGTTTTTTGGTTTATTCATATGTGCATACAATGTTTGGGTCATTTCTCTTCCCTCCCCCTTACCTTCCTCCTTCCCTCCCCTTCCCCTCCACCTCCTCGCTTCTAGGCAGAAACCGTTCTGCCCTTATCTCTAATTTTGTTGAAGAGAGAGGATAAACAATAATAAGAAGGACAAAGGGGTTTTTGCTAGTTGAGATAAGGATAGCTATACAGAGAGATTCCTAGCATTGCTTTCATGTTCATATGTGTTACGTTCTAAGTTGATTCTTCTTGAACTAACCTTTTCTCTAGTTCCTGGTCCCCTTCTCCTATTGGCCTTGGTCACTTTAAAGTTTCTGCATTAGTTCCTTTGCGTTGAGGACATCAAATACTATCATGTTATTTTGCTTTCTTACCTATCCTCATACCTCCCTTGTGTGCTCTCACCTTATCATGTGACCAAAGTCCAATCACCTTGCTGCATTTGCCCATGATCTAAAGTCCACATATGAGGGAGAACATACGATTATTGCTCTTCTGAGCCTGGATAACCTTGCTCAGAGTGACGTTCTCCAGTTCCATCCATTTACTTGTGAATGATAAGATTTCCTTTTTTTTCATGGCTGAGTAGAATTCCATTGTGTATAAATACCACATTTTCTTAATCCCATTCGTCAGTAGTGGGGCATCTTGGCTGTTTCCATAACTTGGCTATTGTGAATAGCGTTGCAATAAACACGAGTGTGCAAGTGCCCCAGGAGTGGGATTGCTGGATCATATGGCAGATCTATGTTTAGATTTTTAAGTAACCTCCAAATTTTTTTCCAGAGTGGTTGTACTAGTTTGCATTCCAACCAGCAGTGTACGAGGGTTCTTTTTCTCCACACATCCTCCCCAACACCTGTTGTTGCTGCTGTTTCTAATGATGGCTATTCTAACAAGGGTGAGGTGGAATCTTAGTGTGGTTTTGATTTGCATTTCCTTTATTGCTAGAGATGGTGAGCATTTTTTCATGTGTTTTTT